GCAGATACTCTCACCTCTAGACCCCTGCCTCACGTCCTGAATGGCAGCCAATCAGGTGAGCCACTCCCCTGGGGGATACCACTGTGATTAAAAGGTAGGGGTGGGGGACCGGGAGCTTGTGCTGCAGATACGGTCAAACACTGAAAATGTCAGTACCTCTATCCTTCACTTTCTCTCTTGCTCTGCTTTTTGTTCTCATTCTCCCTCCATTCTTTCTATTTGCCTCTCTCTCTCTCTCCCTCTCTCTCCCTCCCCTCCCTACCCTCCCTCCCTCCCTCCCTCCCTCCCTCCCTCCCTCCCTCCCTCTCTACCCTCCCTCCATCCCTCCCTCCCTCCCTCCCTCCCTCCCTGTGCCTCAGCTGTCTTCTCCATCATCTAGATTTCCCCCTGGTGTGCTCTGCTTTTTCGCCTCATCACTTTGCTACCCCCCTTCCTCCCTCAGTCACACTGTCTCACAGTCTTTCCCTCTCTGACTCTCTCCTCCTCCTCTCAACCTCTCTCTCCTGCTCTCTCCTTCACCTTGCTCCCACTCTCCTCTCTTTCTCTTCTTCTCATCTCTAACACTGTCACACGCTTTCTATCACAGACACCCCATCTCTCTCTTCTCTCTCCTTTATATCTCTCTCTGCCACCATCTCACACCCTCTATCTGCCTCTCTCGCTCTCTCTCCGTCACCATCTCTCTCTCTTTCTCTCTTCATCTCTCTCTCCCTCTCTCCCTCTCTCCCTCCGTCATTAGTATGTTGTTTGTGTCCTGTAGTGATTGCGGTGAGTGTTGGGCCAGAGTTCAGGGAGAGGACAGGAGGAGGGAGGAGCATAGCAGGTGCTGGGAGGACACTGATAACACACACACACACACACACACATACACACAAAGAGAGACACAGAAATGTAATCACACACGCCAACCAACAATATAAACTGAGCTTGAGGCATACACACACACCCACTACCACACCCAGACAGACCACACCCTCTGCACTGGCACTAATACAATAGTATAGTCATAGTAATGGTATGCTGAGCCAGGTGTAGACTCTCTATCTCTGTATCACTTTATCTGTTTAGAATTGGTCTCTATCTCACTTGCTCTCTGTCACTCACACACACGCACACACATCTATCAGGAGAGATGATGATGTTTTCTCCCTCAGGCCTAAAGAGCCCCATATGAGCCGACCCCCTGTAGTTTCTGCTGGCTCTGATCTAACACACTGACACACAGAGAGAGGCCTGGGGTGTGTGTGGTGTGTGTGTGTGTGTGTGTGTGTGTGTGTGTGTGTGAGAGAGAGAGAGAGAGAGAGAGAGAGAGAGAGAGAGAGAGATGAAGAGAGGGAGAGGGAGGGGAGAGAGAGAGAGATGAGGGTATAGAAGTCCGCTGAGTCCGACAGTGCTCTCTGTTGTGTGAAAGTCCCTGAGTCCCACAGTGCTTAAGACAGCATGCAGTCTCATGCAGCCTCACTATGACACCCCATACGCCAACAGAGCCGATCCCTGCTGTCAGGGTAGGACAGGAGGAGGGAGGGAGGGGAGCGACACAGATAAAATGGTAGAGAGAAAGGGAGAGAGGAGCGACAGATAAAAGGGGAGAGGAGAGAAGGGAGCAGGGTGAATCAGAGAGGGTGTAGAGAAGTTGACGGAGGTAGGAATCGACAGAGATCGAGAGAATGAGACAGAGAAAGAGAGAAAGAGAGAAAGAGATCAACAGAGAGGGTAAGAACAAGAGAAAGAGGGGATAGCCAGGGCAATTAGAGAAAGAGAGGAAGAGACAGAGTCATGGAAAGATAGCACTTATCTGGAGCCCTCTTGGGGAAGGAGAGAAATGGAGAGAACGTGAGATGAGGAGGAGTAGACCATTGAGAGCGTCATTCATTTCCATTGTTTTTAGCTCTGTGAGAAGTGCTTTGGCAACAATGGAATCATCAGGCTCTCAGCGAGATCTGAATGGGACTATGAGAAAGGTAAAGGAGGGGAGAGGGGGAAGAGAGAGGAGGCAGGAGCATGTAGGCCTCTGTGATGAAGAGGATTCATTTTGTTGAGGGCCATCCATTTTGAATGGAGGCCCAGTGGGAGAGGATTATGTGTCAACTTTTGGTGTCACAAAGATTAGTTACTGTCTATTCACAATCCACAGAGACAAAGGGACAGCCAGAGAACATAAGTGTGTGTGTGTATGTTGTGTGTGTGCTTCCATGCGTGTATGTGGTGTACGTGCAAGTGGTGTGTGTGCGTGAGAGCGATTGTGTGTGTAGGTGGGCGGTGGGTGTTTTGTGTTGCTGAGAGGGAGCTTTCTGAACAGGCATCATAAAGACCAACATTTTCTGCAATTTATTTATTTTTATTCTATGGCCACTGATGTCAATGTGGAATGGGAGTATTGTGCAAGCACAATGTTGAACATACACATCACGCTGAGCATCCTGGAATCCACACATTCTTTACATGCCCCAGTCTCATAATTACTGCCCACTCTCCCTCTTTCTGTCTGTGTTGATTATTTGCCATTTAAGCCCACGTCTGTCTTCTGTCTTCTGTCCGCCCATCGCTCTCTCTCGCTCTCCTCTCATTCTCTCTCCCTTCTGAACAAACACTAAGGTCATTGTACAGCGTGAAATAACTGCAGACATGTTTTTCTCCCTCTATTGTCTGGCTCCCCCTCCTCATTATTGTTTCTCTGCAGTGTTGGAAACAGCGCAGGACAATAGCAGCCTAATGAGTAGAGTGCCCCCCCCAACCCCTCAGGCAGGGAGGTGTAATTGCAGTAAACTCCGCTAATGGCTGCTTGGCTAATAATAACATTAGCAGCAGCAGTACTATAGCATTCAGCCCATTAGCACGCAGCCTTCACACACTGTCCTGGGCTTTTAGGAGGCTAAAAGAGGAAGCAACAAAAAGCGTATTTACCAGCTAAAGACCACAGCCGATAAGTAGCTAGGGAGAAAGAAAGGTATTGCTTTTGGTGACATTGGGTTGTTCCTTTTAAACAGTGTGCTGGGAATAAAAGCCATTTACCATAATAACTGTCATTCCCATAATAACTGTCAAAGAATGGCACCCTATTTCAGTGTCAGTCATATGAGGGTAGGACAGGTATAGAGGGTTTGTCAAATCCATGCTTTAAAACAGGCCATGATTTAAAAAATGTGGGGTTGCTTTTTGTTTATCCCTAAATACCTGTTCTGGGGTGAGGGCAGAGGTAGTGGTCTTCGTTTATACCCAATGTCTGTTATAGGGTTGAGGTGGGGTAATGGTGATCTGATGTCTGTTATAGGGTGGAGGTGGGGTAATGGAGTTTTGATGTCTGTTATAGGGTGGAGGTGGGGTAATGGTGTTCTGATGTCTGTTATGGGTGGAGGTGGGGTAATGGTGTTCTGATGTCTGTTATAGGGGTGATGGTGATGGTTATAGTGTGTGTGAGGCTGAGACCTGATAAAGAGGAGACAGCAGGTAAAAATGAGATGGCTCTAGGGATGGTTATTTTATGATGCCTTTACCTACAGGCATCAAACTGGAACCTCGATAAGAGTGTGTGCGTGTGTGTATCTGATAGTTTTGAAGTGTGTCGAGTGTGTGTGTTTGACAATGCGTTTGGAGTGGCGAGAGAACATTTCTTGCTGTGAGCAATCTGGAGCCGGCCGCACTCCTCCTCTCATCCCTCTCTTCTCTTGTCCCAAACGGCAATTTGTAAAACAGGGACCGCCGCTAGCCTCTCCCTCACTCCGCGGCCCTGCACAGCACCACTGCTCCCCTCCCTCATCTCTCTCCTCTCCTCTCCTCTCCTCTCCTCTCCTCTCCTCTCCTCTCCTCTCCTCTCTCATCACTCTCTTTACCCCATCTCTCTCTCTCTCCTCTCATCTCACGTCCTCCTGTTCAGTTTCTTCTTCTCACTCTACCTCTCTGTGTTTATCTTTCTCATCTCTCTCCCTCTGCTTCTCTTTCCCCTCCTTCGTCATCTCTCACTATCCATATTTTCTCCCTTCTGTCTACTCTTCCCTTCCATATTTTCCTACCTGTTCTCTTGCTGTCCTTCTCTCTCTCTCTCTCTCTCTCTCTCTCTCTCTCTCTCTCTCTCTCTCTCTCTCTCTCTCATTGATTCAGCACTCTCTTCTCTCCATCTCATTTAGCCTGCTCCCTCTCTCTTTTCCTCTTCTCCTCCTGTTATCATCTCCCATTCCTCCTCTACTCACTCACAGAATGAGAAAGGGAATAAAGCTGGCGTGAAAGATGGAGAAAGGGATGACGGAAGGTCATGGAGCTCCAGAGTAGAGGAGAGGAGAGGGGGATGCTAAATGGAGGAGAATAGAGAGGTGAAGGACAGAAAGGAGCAAAAAATAAATAATTCAATGATCTACACACACACACACTTTAAACCCGCTATGCTCCTTTGAGACCTCTCTTTCAAAGTCACTGAGATCGCTTCTTCTAGCCATGGTAGCTAAAATAATGGCCAACTGGGCATGTTTATACATGACCCTAAGCATGATGGGATGTTCATTTCTTAATTAACTCAGGAACCACACCTATGTGGAAGCACCTGCCTTCAATATACACTACATGACCAAAAGTATGTCGACAACTGCTTGTCGAACATCTCATTCCAAAATCATGGGCATTAATATGCAGTTGGTCCCCCCTTTGCTGCTATAAAAGCCTACACTCTTCTGGGAAGGCTTTCCACTAGATGTTGGAACATTGCTGCGGGGACTTGCTTCCATTCAGCCACAAGAACTTATGAGT